GGTGTGTTGGAGCAGGAAACATGTAAAACATGTAGGACTGCGGCCCTCCAGGACCAGGATTGCCCACACTTGGTCAAGGATAAACACCTACACCACTGATGAGGGTGCACACGCCCTGCGCGAGTACCCAAATTGCGACAATAACCCAGCCTTTATAAACATTGAAAAGTACTTCATGTACAACTGACTAAATGTTAAATAAATAAAACATAAATACTATTGAAATTAAAAGTAAGAGAGTTTTATTCACTGTTGAGTTGTGGTGAGTAGCTGCCGTCTTAAATTCTGAACTCTCCCACTTTCCTACAGGGATTCCCACTGGAGGGACATTCCAGTTGAAAATTACATTCTTTTAAATGGGAAATTCCCACTTCCCTAGTACAACTGGGCCACAGCAAAAGTAGTTGGTGATAATGTAGTAAAGGAGATTTTGCACGTTGAATTTAATCGTCTACTTTTGAACCCTGCGCAGCTCTACCTAGTGGTGGGAGGCCATCATGTTGCGGGTGTAATAATCAACATGCATTATGGAAGATGTAGTTTAGGGTCAATGCTGGCTTTAAAGCAGCTTATTTTAAGACATTAATCCATTGCTGAAGTTCTCATGGGCCACATAAAAAGCTGCTGAAAGCCATATTTGACCCGCAGGCCAGGAATTTGACATATTAAAGGATTAAACGCACCCATGCTGGTAAAACTTACTTTGTTCTTCAGAAAAAGATCGACTTCTAAAACTATGGAGATTTAAAACTACACATATGCTTGTTTTTTTTTCAATTCTCTGATCCAGAAAGTTCCTGTTTTTATTTCAACACAAATTATTTCACATGTTGTAATATTTTCAGTAGCATTCAGAAGGGGTTGATGAGGGTTTAATGTGTTCATGGAGCCAAAGTGATGCATGTTTGTGCATCTGAGAGGACTTGTTTTGTTGTTAGCACTATGGCTAATTATCATCYGAAAGATAAGTAACTGGCTGTGGGTTAATCTGAGCTGCTGCTGGTTGAATTCTGTTAGCCACAAGACAAGTTTCATTATCCTGTCTTTCTGTTAGATTTACTAGAAGCATTAAGAATGTAAATGTCTCATAGGTGTCTGGACCAATTAAAACCATCTCCAACCTCAGGCAGAATCATTTAACTTCCCCGTGCTGGTTTCTGGTTCGTTTACATCAGATTATATCTCAGGTTTCATCCAGTGTCGGGTGCAGCTGATTCACAACAAATGGCAGAGACATAATGAAAACAATGTAATGGAGCATAAAGTCATCTTCATTTAAAATCCCTGTTTTTTCTCAGACAGACTCGGTTGCTGAGATTAGGCAGAAATCCCTCGTTGAGCTTCTGCAGAAGAGTCACAGATTTTTATTTGGTTATTAAATAAGGAGTAAATATTAGCATGCATCTTGTCTCTTTGTCCCCTAAYCCCTGCTCAGTTTTCAAGACTGTTGAATGAAGCTTCATTTGAAAAGTAAAAATGTCCAGATGGTTTGATAAAGCTGCAGGAATGCAAATAACTAGTTTTTTTGTGTCTTTACACCAACACCAGATGTGCATCCACTGGCTGACACAGTGCTTCTGGAACTATCTGGACTGGACAGAAATCTGCCATTACGTTTGTACCTGTGTGTTGATGGGTCCGGATTACCAAGTGTACCTGTGTGTGGCCATCTTTAAACACCTGCAGCCTGAAATCCTGCAGCGGACACAGTCCCAGGAGCTGCAGGTATTCCTCAAGGTCTGTCACATTTTATTTACCACTTTATTACCATGTGTCTGATTGGTTTTTTACACAAACACTTTAATTTGTACGGAGCCTGCGATTTGCGTTACTTCAAAATACCTTTGCTTTCCCTGGCAATACTTTTGCGTTACCTCCCAATACCTTTGCGTTACCTCCCAATACCTTTGCGTTACCTCGCAATACCTTTGCATTACCTCGCGATACTTTTGCGTTACCTCGCAGTATTGTTTTGCGTTCCAACGCAAAAGTTTATTTTGAGTATGAACTGAATTAAATCAGACTTTTATTTTGAAATATCCGGTTACCAAAACAGGATGTGTCGCCACAAGTTCGTGAAATTGACATTGATGTTGCGTGGCTGCACTGTGTTAAATATCAACATATGACACACTTCCATGTGTGTCTGTGTGATATATTCATTCTGAAGCTGAATTAAAGCAGTAGGCTAACTCACTAATGGTGAACATGTGAGTTTGTTAATAAACCGGCAGCACAAAAGTGATAAACGACTTTTGCGAGGGAACGCAAAAAGAAAAAAAAATCCCCCCATGTCCCCTYGMGGGCTCAGTAARTTTGTGGTTGTGGTTTCAGGTAAAAACTGGTCCATCTGAAGATCTTTTAATCAGGGATGCACCAATATGAAAATTTCAGCTGATATCCGATATAATTATTGTTATGATGGCTGATAACTGATGTTTACCGATATTACACAAACACACAAATCATATTATACATAAACGCACAAACACACTTGTGGTTTTTTTTGATACCGTAAATCAACAAGCAGACCTCTGACATGGCTCTGCTTCAGTTGTTCCTGTTGCAGCATCAGTATCAGTATCAAACAGATGCTGCTCAACCAACCAGCTCCCAAAACACAAACACAAAGTTCTTTATTTTTTGTGCTAACTATACAATACTCTGAGTTCAGACTTTATCACACTCTGCTGCAGCATCAAGACTTTTGCACATTACCACTTTTATTTTGAGCTAATATTACATTTGTATTGACAGCTGATCCAGATTAGACTTTATATAGACAAAAATGCATCAATGAAAWTAAAAAARTCACTTTAATGGTCTTTTTCAATAACTTTTTGAAGCTTTACCTGCAGAGAGGCAGGGATCCAGATAAAACATTAGATTTAAATCAGTTCTGCTGTGTGAAAACTGATCTCCAGATCAAAGTGAGCGTGGATATGAACTCCTCCCTCATCAGGCATGTTTTCCTCCTGATAGCCGTGCTGCTAACAGACACAGGCGATGGACAATTCCTCTGAATAAATCCTCAGTTTTAGACGTTTTATCAGACTGTAATGAGCTGCAGCTTCAGATTCYGCTGCACCAGGCAGACAGAAACTGTGTTTGTAGAAAAGGCTGTCCTGAGCTGAACTGGAGAAGTTTTTATCCAGCCGCTTTGGGAACAATGTGAAATTAGTTTTTTTTCTCCTTTTCTTTTTTTACTCAGATGTGGTTTTAAAACATGACTTTGTCTTTTCCTGCTTCAGTCATCCTGTCTCACTGGAGGGTTTATCTATATTTCATCTAAATTAAAATTTGAAAAGGGAAATTTTTACAACAAGTTTTTTTATTTCTATGTGCTGCATGCTTGTGCCTCAGTTTAGCTAAAAGTTTACCTGTTTGGTCTCTTACAACAAATGAAATCTTAGAACCCATAGTTAGGCTCTACAACAG